AATGTTTCAAAATATGGAATAAACATGTATAACTGTTTACAGTCATATTTTACAAGTCCATCATGATTACTATAAACCACACGAATGTGATCAATTCTTAGGTTGAAAATATCTCATTGACTGAAGCATTTATATAACATAAAATTTAATGATGAGTAGATAAGGACTTGGAAGGAGAGAATCCTAGTACTGTCATAACACTGACCTCGAAATACTGAGCAAAACCATAACAAATTCTAAGCCAGACAGCTTTTAGCTCAGCCATTATTTGAACTGTGTAGTTCCAGAATTGAAGTCCAGAATCTTTATAATTAAACTGACCGCTGAGTAACAAGAATATGTGTCGAGAAAGAACCAGGCCACCGTGTTACACGTCATTACGCTGTTTTCAGTACAGTCTGTGACACAATCTGATCCTTCAATTGCTGACACTAAGGTAAGAAATTGTACTAACATGTAATATTTATAATGTAAATAAATGTGTATACATATTTTATATTTTAAATATGCTGGAGACCAGTTTTCAAAAAAACATCAAAAAACAAGCTAAAAACTGTGCATCAATCATAAATATCATCCATAATTTTGTGTAGCTACTGTATGGCATGCAGGCCAAGGGGCGGAAGGGGGGTGAAGACACGGATGTGCCGGGAAGAGAAAGTTTGTGTGGGTAGGTTGGCAGCAGCAGGCAGGCAGTAGTGAGCCCCATGCATGTCACATACTCACTTCTTGTCCTCCTTCACTGTTGACGGCACGTAACTCTCCAGACCTTCTGTAACCAACGCATCAAACACTAGCGACTGCACGAGTGACTTGTCACCTGAAATTAATAAGCCATCATTCCTTCAGACAACTCATAATGATGAAAACGAAACTAAATATTTCAATTTTGATCCTGTTCCTTCTACAGAACTCTCCTCCTTTTGGATCCTTGATCTTTCCTTGGATGCCTGTTATTTGTTAGAAACTATCTTTTGTAACTATGTTTTTAAACATCGCACAATGATATATCCTTTTTTTTCAATTTTATATAACATGCACTGCCTGATGCTGTAATACCAGCTTTTTTGGG